GGCCTTCTTGGGGCCCTCTTTGGGCTCGTTGGGGGGGTCTGGGAGGCCTCTTGAGGTTTGCTTGGCCCCCATGATTCAAAAAGAGGGGGAGTATGACATTCAGGTCCCCCCAGGGAGGCTCAACAATGGCGTCTTGATGCCCTCTTGAGGCGCTCTTGGGGCGCTCTTGGGCGCTCTTGGCGCCCTTTTGGGGCCTCCATGAGGCCCCTCTTGGGGCTCTCTTGGGCCGTCTTGTGGCCATTGTGAGGCCTCAAGAGCCCATCGGAAGAGAAAAGGCGAGAAGGCAACACACATTGTTTGTCTTCCGGTGTTGGAGCCATTTTGGCCTCTTGCGGGGTGCTTGGATGGCTCGGCGGGCACTTGAAACCGTCTTGGGGCCGTCTTGAGGCCTCTTGAGGGAGGAGGCAAGGTGGCGATGGAGGAAGCAGCGAGCAGCGAGGAAGTAGGAGAAACAGAATGAAGAGGATGCAGACAAGCTGGGTGCGCTCGCGCCACATCTGACATCCTATCCCTGCCCCCCAGCCCTTTCGATTGCGCTGATCTGTCCGTGCCCGCGGACGCGTGTCACAGCTGGCCCCGGAATTCCGTCACCCCTGCAACACGCCCTAATAGCAGCCAAGGTGACCTGTGGAGCAGGTGGGAAGTGTGAGGCCCGTGGAACCTGTGGGGCTTCTGTGGTCTGTGGGATCTGTGGGGCAGCTGGGAACTGCAGATCTGCGGGACGCAGGAGGCCTTCCGGACTGGTGTGACCTGTGCGACCTGGGGGACCCCTGTGGCCTGTGGGGCTTGTGGGACCTGCGAAACTTGTGGAACTTGCGACACTTGGGGGACTTGTGGGACCTGTCAGACCTGCGAGACCTGCGAGACCTGTGGGGCGTGTGCCACCAAGAGGATATATGGGAGCTGTGGGACCTGTTGGACTTCTGTGCGGCCTGTGAGACATGCGACACCTGTGGGACCCGCCTGACCCGTCGGACCTGTGGGACCAGAGGGACTTGCGAGACCTGCGACACCTGCGGGACGTGTGGAACCTGTGGAACGTGTCAGACCTACGGTACCTGTGGGGCGACCCGTGACACCTGTGGGTCCTGTAGGACCTGTGGGACTTCTGCTGCCTGCGAGACCTCAGAGACTTGAGGGACATGCGAGACCTGTGGGATCTAGAAAAGTGGCCCACGCTGACGCGAGACTGCAATTCTGAACCACGGGAGCACAGCGCCGATCCGACGATGGGGCCCACGCTGCAGCGAGAGCACCATTTTTTTAACCACCGAAGACAATCGCACTGCAACACACACACACACACACACACACACACACACACACACGCACGCACGCACGCACGCACGCACGCACGCACGCACGCACGCACGCACACACACACACATCTACACACATACACACATACACACATACACACATACACACATACACACATACACACATACACACATACACACATACACACATACTCACATACACACATACACACACATACGCACACATGCGCACGCGCACGCGCACGCGCACACGCACGCGCACGCGCGCGCACGCACGCACGCACACACTCACATCATACACACAGGAAACACCAGTTCGGCCCAATACCGTGTGGGAATAAGCAGGACGAGGTTGAGTAACACTGTAGACAGGGAGGATGCAAGCTATGTGCGGAGGAGGCGGGAGGGAGGAAGGGAAGGAGGGGAGGGGAGGAGGGAGGAGAGAGGGGGAGAAGGGGAGGAGGGAAGATAGGTGAGAAAAAGGGAGGAGGCAAGGTGGCGATGGAGGAAACAGCGAGCAACGATAAAGTAGGAGGAGAAGGAGACGGACGAGCACATAGACAGGTTGGGTGCGCTCGCGTCATATGTGACACCCTCTCCCTCCCTCCCATCCCCTTCCGTTGCGCTGATTTGTCTCCATCCGTGGACGCGTGCCACAGCCGACCCGGATCTCAAGCAAAGATCCATCGTGCCATGCGCAATCGGAAAAGGAGAGCTGTGTACATACGACGAGGAGGAGGAGGAGGAGGTGGTGGTGGTGGTGGTGGCGTGTGAGCAGGAAGATGAGCAGGAGGATAGGGAGGAGGAGGAGGAGGAGGAGGAGGAGGAGGAGGAGGAGGAGGAGGACAGGGATGAGGAAGGAGTAGGGAAGAGAGGGCGAGGACGAAGAGAAGCAGCAGGAGCTGGAGCGGGGGGAGCAGGAGGACCCAGGGGGGAAGGCGGAGGAGGAGACAAGAGTCGGGCGATCGCACACACGGATTACCCATCGGTCGTTGAGAGTAGGTATTTCTGGATCCCCAGAGTCCAGATCTATTTTAAGCGTAAGCGCCTTCCTACTTCGATGACTGGGTGGTTTTCCCCTCTCACTCCTCTTCAGGGAGCGGGCGGGCACCCAAACTACCTCCAACGCCGTCCTGCTTCATGTTTCTACCTACTCCCCCTCCTCCTCCTCCTCCTCCGCCTCCTTCTCCTCCTCCTCATCCTCATCCTCATCCTCATCCTCATCCTCCCTCCTCCTCCTCCTTCCCCCCTCCAGCTTATGGTAGTGGTGGTGGTGGAAAACAGACCCATCACACAGGAAGGTTTAATTCAGCATCTCAGGCGATCGCAAACATGGATTAAAAGGGCGTGCATTAGCGACGGGTCCCATTTCCATGGGAAATCGCGGCTTCCCGCCGCTGAACGGAGCGGCACCGGCCGCATGTTGGGGAGGGCGCCTCCCCCGATCTATTCATTTGGCGACCGCGCGCCAAGTCCATGGATCGCTAATCCGTGCTTTCGCGCCCCCGAAAGAGGTTGGCGACAACGATGAAAAAGCATGTGGGTCCAGAAAAGTGGCCCGCGCTGAGGCGAGAACGCCATTCTGAACAGCGCCGATCCGAAAATGAGGGCCACGCTGAAGCGAGAGCACAGTTTTCAACCACCGGACACTCACATCGGGAACAAGAACAATTCGGCCCAAACCTGTGCGTAAAAGACAGGACGCGGAGGGTGGCCGAGATCTTCCTCCTCCGGAAGGGTCAGAGGAACGAAGAGAGTAGCATTCATATTTGCAGTTGTGCAGGAGGGAGAGCGGGAGAGGGAGAGAGAGAGAGAGAGAGAGAGAGAGAGAGAGAAAAAAAAACCAACAAAGCAAGACAGAAAGAGAGATACATTGAGAAGGGAGACGAGAGCAATGGTGAGGATTGGATTGAGGAAGGGATTCGAGTGAGGATGGGTGTGGAGACGAGAAGAGTGGTGAGTATTGGAGTGGCGAGGAGTGGTGGAAGAGAGGATGGCGAGGGCAACCCAGGGAGGGGGAGCGGAAGGGGGAACCGAGTGGATGGGAAAAAGATGATGGTCACGAGGCACAGTCACCTCCAGAGGCAGCGTTCAAGCATCGTGGGCGTTCTCGGTGGCCTCCCATGTGGGTCAAGTCTCCCCTTCGTGCAGGACTACCCTTGTGTTGAGTGAAACATTGTGTTTTGTCTCGTTGTTCTGGTCGTGTTGGGTTTCTCCATTTGGATCCAGCGTGCCTGCGTACGATCGTATGTTGCGACTCGCTCATCTACTTCGCTCTCACAATGCCACCGTATGTGTGTGTGTGTGCGTGTGCGTGTGCGTGTGTGTGTGTGGCCTTCGCGCGGCCCGCCTAGCTCTTAACTGGAAGAGGCTCGCTCTCGACCCGCAGACCAAAAGTGTGTGTGTGTGTGTGTGCGTGTGCGCGTCTGTGAGCGTGTGTGTGTGTGTGTGTGTGTGTGGGTGTGGGTGTGGGTGTGGGTGTGTGTGTGCGTGTGCGTGTGTGCGTGTGCTGGTGTTCGTTCTGCTTGCTCGATGTTGCCGCCGTGCCGTGAGCCTGGTTCATCCTCGGATCGCGAGGCTGTCATAATGTAGCCACAGCTTGCGATGTATGGTGACACATCAGGTATCCCGTGATTCCTCTCGGAGGTGTTTGACGAGTTTGCAAGTATCCCGTGTTGATGCTCCATCGTGTTTGTCGTTCCGATCTGGGTTTTCTCGCCTTGCCTCGCGCTTGGCGCATGCGCCGTGCACCGTGACGCTTTTTCGGCTGACATGCCTGTCGCTGGAGCATACAACGTGGACAACAGCACCAACTAGGAGAAGCAGGAGGAACACGAGGATCTGCGTAGGTGGGAGGGCGAGGATGATGAAGAATGAGGAGCAGGCAAAAGAGGAGGAAGAGCAGGACAAAGTGATGGAGAAAGGAGGCATGTTTTCAGAGGGCGCATGGTTGGGCGCGTCCGTAGATTCTGCCTCAGGGGACGCAGGGAGGAGGCAAGACTCGAACAAGTGGAGAAGGAGGAGAAACGCAGGGAGAGGGATGAGGAGGAGCAGGAGGACGAGGCAATGGAGAATCAGGAGGAGCCCACGAGGATGAAGAGGAGGAGGATGAGGAGGCGGAGGAGGTCGACGACGAGACGGCGGGGCCCCGCATCCACCCAACAATCCCCGAGCCCGTCCCGGGGTCCGCCCTGGCCAGTTCTTCGAGTTGCGTGCAGCGGTGGTGACGAGAACCTCCAGGGAAGGCCAAAAGCCTCCGCATCGAAGACGACGGCGGCGAGCGGCGACGACGACGACGCGAGCGACGAGCGGCGAGAGGCGGAGGAGGACGAGGTGGGTGAGGAGGAGGCCCCATGCTTACGCCATGCGGTGCCCAGGAGGAGGAGGAGGAGGAGGACGAGGAGGAGGAGGAGGAGGCAAAGGAGGCAAAGGAGGAGGAGGAGGAGGACGAGGATGAGGAATCAGGTCTCTAGAGGCCCCGAAGGCTCCCGGAGGGTTAGCAAGAGCCATGCAAGCGCCCTCGAGCCTCTCTCCTCGACCCTCGAACTCGAACCTCGACCCTCGATCTTGCATCTCGACCCCCGACGCGTCGAAGGGCGTCGAGGAGCCTCTGGCTTCGATCCTTCCCCCTCGAGCTCTCGACCCCCGAAGGCCGCCGGAGGGCCCTCGAAGGCCCCCTCGAAGGGCCGCCGATGGGGGCCGGACATGGGCCGCTCCGAGGCGCTGCTCTTCGGGCTCTTCTCGGCGCTGTCGCTGCCCCTGGGGGCGCTGCTGGGGCTGGCGCTGCGGCCGAGCGAGCGGGTGGTGGCCAAGTGGATGGGGCTCGGCGCTGGCGCCTCCCCCCCGGGAGGTGGAGATGGTGGAGGGAGGAGGAGGAGGAGGAGGAGGAGGAGGAGGAGGAGGAGGAGGAGGAGGAGGAGGAGGAGGAGGGGGCCCTGAGGTCCAGGCGTTCCGATTTTTTACACTTCGATCCAGCTCGAACAAATGCAGCAGAAAGAGGGGTTCGGGGCTCCAGGCGTGATTTGATTTGGCTGCGTGGCAGTTTTTGTCGCGACGTCGGTTCTCGTGGAGGGAGGAGGGAGGAGGATCTGAGCAGGGAAAGGTGCCGAATCCATCACGTTTCCCGTGTCGCCACGGCTGGATTCGCCCCGGAAATCTTGGTTAGAACGCACCCCAGGGGATGGCCGTGGTGTAGCGGTACCTGTATGTTTTATTCCGTCACAGGAGACGGAGGAGGAGGAGGAGGAGGAGGAGGAGGAGGAGGTACCCCGCTTTCGCATCCAGGCAAAACCAAGCCATACCACGCGCCTCCTCGTCAAGCGGCCTGAACACTACAGGCTGCAGTTTGGCATCGTTTGGTATCTCTTGGAAGCGAGGGTGGTCAAAAGCGAGGTAGGTTTGTTTCCCCCCCCTAGAGGAGGAGGAGGAGGAGGAGGAGGAGGAGGAGGAGGAGGAGGAGGAGGAGGAGGAGGAGGAGGAGTAGGAGGAGGAGAGAGGAGGAGGAGCGAGGACGAGCGTGGCGAGCGAGGACGAGCGAGGACGAGGACGAGGGACGAGGAGGAGGAGGAGAGGAAGAGGAGGAGAGGAGGAGGAGGAGGATGGAGGAGGAGGAGGAGGAGGAGGAGGAGGAGGAGGAGGAGGAGTTGGAGCAGAAAGCAGAAGGAGGGAGTGTTGGAGGATGAGGGTCTCGACGGAGTTCCACCGTCGACGTGAGAGAACTCCTTCCCAGGCAATCGGCGGATTGACATGTTGAGTCCCATGTCTTCTTTTCCATTTCGGCTTCATGGGGGCCATGTCGGGGCCTGGAGGCTAACAATGGATCTGGGACGAAAGCTAAGCCATGGAATGGGTCGAGATTTGTGGGGCCGCAGACGGGAACACAAGCAGTGCTGGCGGGGACAATGGGGGACAAGGGCTTACTCCTCCGACCTCCATCCCTCCCACCTCCTCACTCCCCCTCCTCCGCCTCCTCCTCCTCCTCCTCCTCCTCCTCCTCGACCTATATGTCAGCGGTGCGGTTGCTTCACCTCAGGTGAGCGCCTCGCCAAGCTTTCAACGGCATGCGAGCCTCGCGATGAGCCTCTCAACAGCGAGCACTGGAGGTGGCTCGGCAAAGGTTTCCGCCCCAAGAGAAGCGGGGCCCCTCCGTCGAGCCACTCTCATTCTGCCCCGTCCAATGGCGGGGCCATTGGCCTTTGTTGTCGACATCCTCCTCCTCCTCCTCCTCCTCCTCCTCCTTCCTCCCCTCTGCTTCGGATCCCCTTCGAGGATAATCTGTTAACTTTGGAACGGCACAGAGAAGAATAGCACGGACCCTGCGCAAGGATGGCACGCACACATCGAGAAGTGTATACACTTTCCTCCCCTCTCCTCATCCCCCTCCTCCCTTCTCCTTCCCCTCCTCCCTCTCCCCCTCCTCCCTTCTCCTTCCTCCCTCCTCCCTTCCTCCTCCTCCTCCTCTCTCCTCTCTCTCCTCCTCCCCTCCTCTCCTCCTCCTCCTCTCCTCCTCCTCCTGCTCCTCCTCCTCCTCCTCCTCCTCCTCCTTGTCCTCCTCTTCCTCCCGCTCCCTTGGCCGCCGGGCTCCCCGGCCAGAGGCTCCCTGGTGTACGCCGTCGCCACCCAACTCTTCGGCAAGACGCTGTTCAAGCTGCTCGCCCGCTCTCCGGAGCCTTCGTGGGCTGCTCTCCCCTCTGAGGAGGAGGAGGAGGAGGAGAGGAGGAGGAGGAGGCGGAGGAGGAGGAGGAGGAGGTGAAGGAGGAGGAGGAGGAGGAGGAGGAGGAGGAGGAGGAGGAGTCTCCACTTGAGTTTCCACAGCTTGTTGCCACACCTCGGGGCGAGGCCCACCCTGTTACGTGCGCCTCCAGCTCACAGGGCCTCCGGGCCAGCGCATGGGGTCTTTCTCCCTCGGGGCTTGGCCCCAAGGCGAGGGGAAGGAATGAGGGAGGAGGAGACGATCAGCCATACCCCCTTGGGAGTGTTCCCCTGACGAGGAGGAAGGCGGGAGACCCAGGGACGGCCAGGCTGCAGCAAGCCCCCGTAGAGCCGCAGGGACCGCCATGTCCGCGGGCGACGAGGAGGAGGAGGAGGAGGAGGAGGAGGAGGAGGAGGAGGAGGAGGAGGAGGAGGAGGCGGAGGGGGAGGATGAGGAGGAGGAGGAGGAGGAGGAGGAGGAGGAGGAGGAGGAGGAGGAGGAGGAGGAGGAGGAGGGGAGGAGGAGGAGGAGGAGGAGGATCGAGGGTCGAGCTTGTCGGGCTCTTTCAGCGTTGCCAGTCTTTTCTGGGGGCCTCCTGGGGCCGCCCTTCCCCGGGAAGGACCCGTTCATGCACGAGGTGGAGTGCGACAAGATATGCAAGGGCCTGTGGCGTCAGGTCAACCTGCAGGCGCTCTGGCTTCATCGCTCCCCCCTCACACAATCTTAGGGGAACCAAAAGTGGCATAAACATGAAAACTCGGAGGTCCGCGCGGATTTCTCGGATCGGCGCTGGACCCCCCTCCCTGGCGCGCGGAGCTCGCCAGGGGCGGCGCCGGAGGCGCCGCCGGGGGGCCCCAGCGCCGATCTGAGAAATCCGCGCGGACCTCCTAGTTTTAATGTTTATGTCACTTCTTGTTCCCCTGAATATGAACTACTATTGTCCTCTCTCTTCGAATATGTGCGGAGAGTGGCTGCCCTCCCTCCGCGTACGGATTTCGTACACGTGCCTTGAGCGAGCGAGCTTTTTGTCTGCACATTCTGACTTCGATCTCTGCGTGTCCTCTTCCTTGCCAGGACTTGTGCGAGCTGGCTGTTCCGTGGGTTGTCTTGCTTATTTTACAAGGGCTTTCAGCTTCTCGCACATGGTGCTCTCGCTGTAGCGAGGGCCCCATTTTCGGATCGGCGCGGCGCTCCCGTTGTTCCGACTGGCGCTTCCGCCCAAGCGTGGGCCACTTTTCCTCCGGATCCTACATGTCTCGCAGGCCTCACAGGCACCACAGGTCCCACAGGTCCCTCCTCCTCCTCCTCCTCCTCCTCCTCCTCCTCCGCATCCTCCTCCTCCTCAGGACCCGCAAGTGTTGCGGGTCTCCCCACAGGCCCCGCCAGTTTGACAGTTTCCACAGGTCCCACAGGTCCCGCACGTGTCGCAGGTCTCGCATGCCCCGCCGGTCCAGCAGGTCCGACATGTCCCGCAGGTCCCAGAGATGTCGCATGTCTTACTTGTCCCGCAGAAGTGCCAGGTCCCGCAGGTGACACTGGCACCCCAGGTCTCACAGGTCCCACAGGTCCCACAGTTGCCACAGGTCCCACAGGTCCCGCATGCGTCGCAGGTCTCACAGGCGCCACAGGCCACAGAGGCCCCCCAGGTCGCACAGTTCCCACAAGTTCCCCTTTTTTCCGATTGCACATGACACAATTGGGTCTGTTGCGGAGCTCCAGGTCGGCTATGACACCTGTCCGCGGATAGAGACAACATCAGCGCACTGGGAAGGGATGGGAGAGAGGGTCACGACGTCAGATATGGCGCGAGCGCACCTAGCTTGCCTCCCCTCCCTGTCCTCCCTCCCCTGACAACAAACAGTATGGTCGTTGCAGAGATGTTGACGCCATTGCTTGAGGCTGCAGAGCCCGACAGTAGCTCCAAGATCGAGCCAGTGCGGGAGGTGCTGCGCGAGGCGTTGCCCAACGACTTGCTCGGCCGGAAAGCCGGACAGGCCCAGGCGAGGCATCGCTTGGCAGACTCCGACGCGCCGTTGTGCGTGCTCCCGCCGGCGCAGCGGCAGCGCGCCGAGCAGGACTGGCGACGCTCTGGCACGAACGGCGGAACCTTCAAGATTGAGGTTGAAGCTTCTCTGCTTCCGGAGGGCGCGGTCGCCACGTGCCCCAAAGAGATGCGGCCGATCTCACTGATCCCAGTGCCTCGCAGTCTTCTCGGAGACCTGGCCCTGGCGCGGGGGGGGCCAGGCTGCAGCCAGTGCATCTGCCGCGGCCCGCCGCGACCCTCCCGCCGACCACTTCGAGGCGCTCCGTGCTGCCATCCGGCCATCGCTCCAGCCGGCCTCCGTGATGTCGCCACGACTCACCACCCACCAAACCACCCCAACCCAACCCGAAGGCTCATATTCTCCCTCGATTTCCAGTGGGGGGGGGCGGGAACCATCGAAAAACACATGTGGAACCCTTACCCCCCCCAACCCGAAATTCGGGTCTTCGGGTTGGGTTGGGGTGGTCTGGTAAGTAGTCAACGACACAGTCCGCAGTGGCCCTCCGCGCGAGCGGCCGCCGCCTCTCGGGAACACCGGCCGTGGAGGCCGCGCGCGGCCCGCGCTGCAGCGCCGGCCACGGGGGCTCCGAGCGGCGGCTCCGCGCTGGCCGGCCGCCGGCCGTCCGCCGCCCGCCGTCGACCGGCCGACGGCCGCCCGCCGACCGCCAGGTGCACCGCCGGCGGCCGATGGTCGACTGCCCGACCTCTGACGACGACGGCGGTCGAGGATCGACGGCCGCAGGGGACCCTTGCATCCTTGCCTCCTCGGTGCATCCCTGGCCGCTTGCGCTGGCCGCGCCCCGCTCGACAAGCTTCGGAATGGGCGCCCAGGGCCCTTGCACCCTGCTCGCGCATCCTTGCTGTACTGGTTGATCCTACCTGCGCACCAACGCTCGCCCCCACGCGGCACCACGCCTGCCGCCACGGGGGCACCCTGGCCAGACCAGGCCAGCAAGCAAAGCAGCCACCACGGGCCGCCGTCGCTTTTCTGGTCGCACGTTGGAAGTGCCACGCAACCTCCGGGCCCCCTCCAAGCGAGCACGCAAGCTGGCCGATAGCTTACCCGCCAGAGCCACTGCCGAGCATCACTGAGAGGACTTCGACGAGCGGCTCCACTATGGTGTCCCAGAAGTGGACCCAGCTG